GTGCAGGGTTCGCGGCGCGTCCGCACGTACAAAAGTGTCAAGCAGGGGGACGTCCCCATGCTGTTCAGCGCTGGCTTGGAGCTCGCGCTCTCACGATGGAATCGCTTTCTTGACAAGCGTGGATCTGACATGGGCAGCACTTCTGGTGAGAGGCTCACCGACGTGGGGCACGCCGAAGACCTCATTGTTTAAATTGCATATTGTGACGAATTCTGCGAAATGATGGAACCCCTGCGCGGTTGAACTCCGTCAGGTCGGCCTGCATCTGAGTGCGTTGAAGACTCATTTCTGGACTACAAAGGGCCTTGCTGGGCCGAGTTGCGTCGAGATCGGCGGTGACATGGTCGACGTCCTGTTCGGCAGCGGTACGCATGTCTACTCGGGAAGGAATGTGCCGGCGTCCTTGCGGCAGCGTGCTGACGGCGAGCTGTCGCACTGATTCCAGGCAGTTTGGGGCACGTTCCATGAGCGGGGGCAAATCTTAACAGACAAGCGGATTTCCATCAACCGCTGCCTCAAGCTCTTCGACTCCGTCGTGACGCCTACGGTGCTGCTCGGCTTGCCAGCGTTCGCGCCGACGACTCGGCAGAAGGAGCAGTTGGACGTTCTCCAACGACGCATGGTGCGGCTTGATGACGAATATTGGAGCACCACGATGTGTAGAATGAACGACCGATTCGGCAGGGCTCTGAGACCTTGTCCTTTTTCAGAGCTCGGGAGTGCGGCTGGTCCACTTGCAACGCAGCGTTTCCGGCCAACTCGGGAGAAATCCTGGCAGCTGGGCGCGACAGCGATCAAGTTGCAACCTTGCCGCCATCTCTGCCAGAGCAAGCCGTGGGCGAGGTCGTCCGGCATGTCGGTGGAACGACGATTTGCAGAGGTAGTCGCCCGCTGAGTTTGATGAGCACCGTGGTGCGTCGCTGTTCTGGACCGAAGGAAATGGCGTGCGTCGGCCGAAGGCTATGCGCCAGACTTCTGAGTCCAATGATGCTTGTGAATTTCCCGTCGCCCAGGAGGATTCATAGCTTTTTGCCCGCGTCGGCCTGCGGACCTATTCGGCTCGACCGGTCCTTACCTTGTGCTTCGCCTTGCTTCAGAGCTGCTTGGTCTCACGCAGGTCTACTCAAGCCTGCCCGGGCCTGTTCGCGCCTGCTCGAGCATGCTCTGGTCTGCTCGCGCGCTCGAGCCTACTTCAGTTGAGCGGAAGATCGGGGCACATCGGAACCAGAGATTTTGGGGGAGTTCCAAAGAAAAATAGAACGCCGAATTGTGGAGCGCAGCGCGCGCATTCGCAGAAGTTCCCCAAGGACTTTTCGAGGGCTCGAGGAGCCCAAGTAACACATGGGCGCTCAATTAAACTGTTGAGGGCGGGCAGAAAAGCTGGTGTGCACGAGCGTTGGGAACGGGTGCACGGCTTGCACGGGGGGCGCAGTAGGTTTGCGCTTCAGGGACTTAGGCGCTGGCCGAAGCGTTGATGGGGGGCCCGAGAGTGCGTCACACATATTACGCCTGTGGCGCCATGGAGGCCGCATGTGCGGTTGCAGTGGGGCGGGCGCCCCGCCGCGCGCACCGTGGCGACAGCTCTCTTGGGCGCCCGCCCGCCGCCGTGGACGCTGCGGACCCAGCTGGTCTCGCGGTCGGCGCGCGGCGGGTCGGCAGCCACGACGCTGGCGGCCTGAAAATGCTTCGAAAGTGTTTCTCCGCGAGCCCGGGGCTATTGTACGTTGTCGGTGGCGCGCGCAGCTCGGAGGAGAATCGCCGCGTCCGTCGGCGGCCAGTCGGCTGTCGTCGCGCAGAAGGAAGTACCGGCGGATGGCGCGGTTCACGCTCAGCGCAGAGAGCGTGTCCATGAGCGTGGACTCGTCGAGGGGCAGGAGGAAGGACCTCGCGGTCGGGACCATCGCGGCCCGCGATGTCCACGGCCCCCACCCTCGGCGCGCGTGGGTCCGCTGGGCGCCGCCGCAGGCCGATTTCAGAGAATCTCGGAACCATAAATCCGGGCGCGCCAAATTTCGCGGGCCGAAAAACTCTCAGAGAGTTTCGGCCAGCTCCGAGGTTTTGGGTTTATGGGAATGTTTCACGCGGGGTGTCTAGTTCAGAGATTTTCAGAGTTTCTCAGAGAAGTTCGGACGCGAGAATTTGGCGCGCCCCGGTTTCTGGTTCTGTGAATATATGAAACGCGGTTCCTCAGATTTTACCGGATCTCCGGGCGTCCCACTGTCAGCCAGAGACGAGCGACTGGCTGGCGCCGCGCCCGATGCTTCCGGAGTTGCGAACTCGGGCCCCTGGGCCAATCACGAGGTTGCCGAAGCCCCCGGGCGGTTGCGCGCGATTGTCTCCGAAACCGGAGTTGGGCATCCATGGTGGACGCCCGCGCGTGCGCGCTAGGTGTCCGCGAGATTATTCGGTGGCGGATATTGCATGGTGCGGGGGCCTTCCGCAGACTTTCCGGGGTTTTCTCTAAGGTTATTTCGGCGCGTTTCGGGAACCCTGGGGCGGCGCGGGGAAGTCGCCAGGCCGCGCGCGGGCCCTTTTTCCAATGCCTTCTTGGGCATTATCGCGGTGTTGCGTGGCTTCGCTTTTTGACACTTACACGTGTTTTTCGTTGCGTTGGTTGCGTGATTGTTTTGGCGGTCCGCCTCTTTGGGGCCCCCTTGGGGCATCAAGCTTGTTTTGTTGACGCTGGGTCTTCGGGAGTGAAAGGCGCTCGGCGCTGAATTCCCTCGGGCGTGCGCGTGGCCAAATACGTGCCATGGCCTCATCCGCGTCGGGGCGCATTTCTTCCCTCGCGAAGCCGATGGTGCCCAAGGCGTGGCAGGCCCGTTCGGCGGCGCCCCCGGTGATTTGAAAAACCGAGCATGGTTTTTATCCCGGTCCAACTTTGCCCCGATCTTGGCTTCGTCTTACTACTCGGGGCTGCATGCTCGGGCCTGCTCCCTGACGCGGCGCGGGCGGTACGGTGATCGGCTCGAGTGCGGCGCCGCCGCGGAAGGTCGACCGAGAGAAGGGCGGGCGCTGGAGCGCAGGCCCACGTCTCTCCGACGACGTGCTCTCTCGACCAGACGTAGGAGCGACCTGTCGCCAAAGTGGCTTACGGCGCGGGCGCACTGTGGTCTCCACGGAGCCGGGTGCGAGGCGATAACAGCGGCTTGCGCGTTTTGGTTTGGCCGTCCCGTCACACAAAATCGCGTGCCCAAGGTCATTCTCGCCTAGGGTTAAGCCGGGCGCGCCCCTCTACAGCCAAAGTGTTTAAGAATAGTCAACACATTGTCTCGTAACGGTTTTTCGTGTTCTTGCGATCATAGAACAAGTATCGTTTGACGTTTTTTTGTTCTTTCACAATTCGCCTGTAGGAGGGCATGCCCGACCTGAGCATAGGGTCACCCCTTACATTCCTCCGAACTTCTCGCTCCAGGCCGTTCTCCTCGGCCTCAGCCTCTGCCGGGGACCTCCAAGCCCAGAAATCCGAGGCTTCGATACAGTTGGAGCGGCCGGTTGTTGGCTCTTTCGGAGGCCTTGCGGGGGCCATGGGACCGTCAACAAAACGACTCAGGACGAAAAGTTGGCCCTGGGTGAATGGTCCAGACCTCTGGGAGCCCACGCGGCCAGATGTCTGGGGTGACCACACACCCTCTTCCTCTTTCTTTTCCCCTCCTCCATAGTCATCAGAGTGTCACTGATCAGGTGTCGCTGATGGCATCAGAGTCGCTATTGACGCTGCCACCCCTCCTCCTCCTCCTCCTCCTCCTCCTCCCCCTCCCCTTCTTCCTCTCCCTCCTCATCCTCCTCCTCCTTTTCTTCCTTCCCGACAGCGTCGGTTTGGGAAGATCCTTTGGAAAGTTCTACTTTTGTTCCTCCTCATCTTCCTTCTCCTCCTCCATTTTTGTAGTGCTACTCCTCCCTGTCGCACCACGAGGCCGGTCGAAAGGGCGGGCTGGGCGTTTCGCCTGAAACTCACAATTGATGATCTTGAAACTTAAATTGGCAACCGTTTCACAGGTGGAGGGTGGGCCGCTTACAAAATGTGGCTCAACATTCGTTTTAACAATTTTCAAGAGTGTCAAGGGTTGTGGGCGGGTTGTTTTCAACATGTGGTTCTCGCCTTAGAGCCGCGCACATTCGTTTTAAACATGTGCATGGGCTTCACGGACTGAGGGCGGCTCGTTTTCAAATTGTGGTTCTCGCCGTAGCGCCGCGCGCAGTAGTGCTACAACTTCTCAAGGGTTTCGTTGACTCCCGTGGTAAACGAACCAGAAAGTGCGTGCCGCGTCACGATTCAAGGCTGTCAGGGCGGAACAGCTACGCTGATTCGCGGCTTTGACGTCCCAGGAATGGTGTTCTGGCACGATTCTGGATCGCCACGACGTAGACGTCTTGACTAACAAACATGTTCTGGCACTCTTCCGAATTGTCATGCGGTTGTCTCCCTATAGGGCAATTCCTTCAGTGTGCATGAACCGTTCAAGGAGCCTATGAGTTTGAATGGAGGGTGTCTTCCAACATCGTTGAGAAGTTGTGGGTTTTCACTGGTCCTCCTCCCCTCCTCGTCCTCCTCCTCCTCCTTCTCCTCGTCCTCCTCCTCCTCCTCTTCCTCCTCCTCATCCTCATCCTCATCCTCCTCATCCTCCTCTTGCCCTGTTCAGCAGGGACTATGAACGATCGACTTCCGATTTTTCCCGCCTGCCTACGCGCCTGAAGGCGTAATGGGTTTATGTTCGTGCTCGTTCGGCCTCTGCCGAGGGCCCCCAAGTGGCGTGACGACCACACCGTGTGGTGAGTCAGTGGGGGCTGGGTTTTTGGACGTTTTCGTCGGCTCCTGCGGGTTCTCCTGCCTCGGAATACGTTCCAGAAGCTGCGCCTCGCCGACTCGCCGAGGGCGTTCGGGGTCTGCGATGATCGCATCGAAAGGCAGGCGAGGACCCGAGTAATGGCCCGGAAATCAAACATTCGGAGGAGAGTCGGTGTGATGAGTCGGTTGGGATTCGGAGTGGCCGTACGGTCTTGGGACTCGGGTCGTTCTCCGGTGGTGTCTCGGGCGTCCCACCACCGCGCGGCGACGGATCGCACGGTGAGGTCGTTGAGGCTTTCGACGTCACCTCACGGCCCGTCACCACACGGTTTGGGGGGCACCGAACTCTGACGGCCGTCATCGGGCCCCAGGGCCATCAAGATCGGAGCCGGGACGAGTTCCGCAGCCATTTTGGCTCCAGCCCGCAGCGTGTTGTTGTTGCTCCTCTCCCCCTCTCCCTCTCCCTCTCCCTCCCCCCGCTCCCCTGGGTATCGCGCCGCCATGCAGCGGGATGGCCCGTTCGCGGAGCGAGGCGCCTTCGAGAATCCCCGCCGGCGGTGGTGGTCCCTGCTGTCGATGTGGGTCGTCGTGGTTGTCGCGCGGAGGTTCGAGCGGTGACGAAGCGTCCCTGCTTGCTCATGGGCTTAAGTCGGGCACGTTCCTTTACAGGAGGAAAGTTCGAAAATGGGCAAAAAAGAACAAAGCAGCACTCTGGGGACGATTTGTTTGATCATGTTTCGGTTCTTGTTTTTGGTAGTTTTCATGGTTCGTGCAAAATCCGCCTGTAGGGGGACACGCCCGACCTAACTATAGGCCCACCTGAGATTGTCCTTCGAACATTTCTGGCCGAGACTGTCTTGTTTTGAAAACGGGAGATTCCAGTGGCGGTCTGGGAGCCCCAATCCTCTAAAAATCACACTCGCCTCGGCGCCGCGCACACTTTTTCAAAAACGGCATTCTCGCCTCGACGCCGCGCACAGTTCTGTGAAGCGGACTGGTAGAGATTCGAGCCCCAGGAGGGAGGGGAGGGATGGAGAGGGAGAGAGACGAACCGTCCACGCCGCCTGTGGTGGCGCATGTGGGGGCATGATGGATGGGCGGGGTAGGTGGGGGGGGGATTTCCCCCCCCCCCCCCTCCCAGAGAAAGTCTCCTGTGGAGGGTTTCAACAGGAATTCTTCAATGGATGGTTTCAATCGGAATGCATATTGTGGAATTTTGAATGCGAATCCTTCTGTGGAGGGTTTCGCTAGGAATCCTTCTGTGGAGGGTTTCAGTAGGAGTCCTTCTGTGGAGGATTCAACAGGAATGCAATGCCAGTTCAATGCCAACGCAATGCCAGTGCCGTGCCGGCGCTTTGCCTGCGAAAGGCCAGCGCAATGCCAAGGACACCAATGCTATGCCAACTCTATGCTAGGTCCGTGCCTCCGCATGCAAGCACAATGCCAGCACATGGCCAGTGCAATGTCAATTCGGATTCAATGCCAGTTTAATGCGAAAGCGATGAGTCGTTTCTCTTGTGCATTTCAGGAATCCTTATGTGGACGGTTTCACTTGGAATCCTCACGCAGGGGATTCCAATAGGAATCATTATGTCGATGATTTCAATCGCAACCCTTCTTGTTTTGGATTTTGATGGGAATCCTTATGAGAAGGGTTTCAATGAAAATCGTTTTATGGAGGATTTCAATGGAGGTCCTTCTGTGAATGGTTTCAATAGGAACCCTTCTGCGGAGGATTCCAATCGGATTCGTTCTGCGGGCGTTTCCAGAAGAATCCTTGCGCGGAGAATTTCGTAGGAGTCCTTCTGTGGAGAGTTTCAACGGGATCCCTTCTCTTGTGTAGGATTTCAATAAAAATCCTTATGTGGAGGATTTCTTCTGAAGAAATCCTTCGTGGAGGGTTTCGATGCTGATTCTTGTAGAACTTCAATATGAACGCAACGCCTGGAAAATGCCAAGGCGCTGGCAGTGCTGTGCCAGCGCTTTGCCAGCGCAAGGCCCATTGCAACGCCAAGGGGCGCCAATGCTATGCTACCTTGCTGTGGAGGCCTTCAATCGGAATCATTATGTGGAGGCCTTTCAATCAAACCTTTGCTGAGGGTTTCGATGGTAATGCAATGCTAATGAATGCAAGTGCTACGCTAACTGTTTTGCCAGCGCAAGGCCAATGCAATGCCAAGGAACACCAGTGCTATGCAATTATACGCCATGTCTGTGCCAATGCGTCGCCAGCACAATGCCAGTGCCCCGCCAGCACTTGGCCAGCGCAGTGTCAATCCCCATACAACGCTATCCAACTCGAAAGGATGAACCTTTTTTCTTTTTATACTTCAGCCGACATCCTGCTGTGGATGATCGAGAATGATTCCTGTCATGGGGTATTCCAGTTGGGACCATGTGAGGAAGAATAGATAAGGAACCCTTTTTAATGAAAGACATCAGAATGAACGCGGTGCCATTCACGTCCATTGTACTGCTTGTGCTATGCCAGCGCAGTGCTTTGCAATGCCAAGAGACACTAGTGAATATGTTTTCCATATTTCAATAGAAACCCTTATGTGGATGATTGAATTCGAAATCCTGCTATTGAGAGTTTCAGTTGGAGCCTTCCGCGGAGGAAAGTAACTCGATTACGTCGGTGCAGGGATTCAAGGGGACTGCATGCCACCGCAATTCCAAGGCAATGCTTGTGCTGTGCCTTTACCAGCGCACGGCCGATTCAATGCCAAGGGGCACCGATGAACCCTTTATTTTTATATTTCACTAGTGACCCTTCTGTGGATGATTGAACTCGAAATCCTGCTATATAGGGTTTCAGTAGGAGTCCTTCAGTTGGGAAATTGAATCGGACCCCTGCTATGGGGAATTCCAGTTGGAGCCATATGAGGAGGAATGCTGATAGGAATCCTTCTATGAAGGTCCCCAAGGGGAATGCAATGCAGTTCGCGTCCAAGGCAATGCGTGTGTTATCCCACCGCTTTGCCAGCGCAAGGCCATGCAATTCCAAGGGCGCCAGTGAACCGTTGTTCCATGTGTCAATAGAAACCCTCCTGTGAATGATTGACCTCGGGATCCTGCTTCTGCGGCTGTGCCAGCGCTTTACCAGCGCAAGGCCAACGCAATGCCAGGGGGCAGCAATGAATCTTTGTCTGTCTAGATTCCAATAGAAGCCCCTCTGTGGATGATTGAATTAGGAGTCCTGCTACAGAGGATTGGGGGTTCAGTGAGAGCCCTTTTGCGGAGAAATTCAAGTTATATCCATGTATGAAGGGTTTCAAGAGAAATGTTGTGCCAAGTCGGTTCCAAGGTAGTGCGGGTGCTATGCCAGCGCCTTGTCAGCGCAAGGCCCATGCAATGCCAAGGAGCATCAATGAATCCGTTTGTCTTTCTTGCATGTGTAATCCTTTTGTGGAGGGGTGAGCTAGGAATCCTGACATGGAGGATACCAGGGGAAGCCTTCTGAAGAATTCAATCGGCATCGTTCGAGGAAGGGCCTCAACAGTGATGCAATGCTAACTCAATACCAAGGCATTGCTTGTGCGGTGCCAGCGCCTTGCCCGCGCAAGGCCATTGCAATGCCAAGGGGCACCACTGAATCTTTTGCGTTCTATATTTCAATAGTAATCCTTCAGTGGGCGATTGAAGTAGGAATCCTGCGCTGGAGGATTTCAGCAGGAGCCTTCTAAATCAACAGGCCGCTGTCATGCCAATTCTTTGCAAGTCCGTGCCAAGGCAATGCCAGCATAATGTCAGTGTAATGCCAGCACGTGTGGTCGCTGCGGTTCGATGCGGTTCGATGCGGACGAAATTCACACCTTTTCCCGTCTGTCACTAGGAGCCTTTCTGTGGGTTATTTAGATTGGAATCTTTATGTGGAGGAGTTGGTTGGGAATCCTTTTGTGTGTGCGCGGGGAAGTGGGGCTGATCATTGGGACCCTTCTGGTTCAGGATTCCGTATCGATGGGTCTTCCGGGGAGGGAGTTCCAGGAATCCTTTTTTACGGCGGGTGTCATAGGATACCTTCTGTAAAAGTTTCACAGAAGCCGCCAGCACAACACAATCGCAAGGCCCGCGCACTGCCGACGCAATGCAGCGCAAGTCTTATGCCGAACCACACCAATGCAATGACAATGGGGTCGTCAGAGCAGAGCGTTAATTTTGCGCCGACACGAAAAATACGCAAACGACACGCCACCACCCATCCCCCGAAAAAAACCTTTGAACCAAAACATGTGCGCGGCGTTGAGGCGAGAATGCCATTGTTGGAAAAAGGTGCACGGCGCCGCGGCGAGAGTGCAAGTTTTGAGAAATGCGACGCAGCAGACCGTCATTTGAGAATCCCTCGTCCTCGATGTTTTTACACGCCGGGCTTATGTTCTAAGAATCGCGGTTTCGTTCCTAGAACATATTGGGGTTCTGAGAACATGCCGTGGTAGGCCTATTGGAATGCCCGGACGGCGGGTCCCTGCTCAAGAGGTGCCTCTTCGCAGCCGGGCTCGCCCGGCTGCGCGTCGCGAACAGCGCTTCGGGCAGGTTTGGGTTCCTCGCCAGGAGGGGCGACGGCGATGCCCTGTCTGGGATTCAGAACGCCACCGACGCTCACGAGGTTTCGCGGTTTGTGTTGGTGCCGCTGGAGTTGCTACCTCACTGGCACTTCGAGCCCCCCCGGCAAGCGGTGGCCACCCTGGTGCCCAGCGAGGAGTGGGGCCAAGAGGCCATTCGATGGTGGAACGGTGGCGCGGGCCGCATGCGGTCCCGGTACGAGTTCTGCCGCCATGGTCCCCACTTGCACCTGCTCGTGTTCGGGGACGAGGTGCTGCTCGGCCAAAACGACACGCTCCTGGGCTTTGGCTTGCCCCAGAACGCCTCGGAGGCGCACCACCAGGGGGCGCCAAGAGGCAGAGTGATCCCTGTGCTCCGTGTCACGTTGCCCGTGCCTGCCAACGTGGAGCCTGGAATGACCATGGCATCGTGGGTTGTGTCGGACATCCCGTCGCCTGGCGAGCGCCTGACGCGGATGGACCCAGATCACGCACTGAGGTTCACATTCATCATGTCTCCATCAGGCAGAATACACAACGGGTTGTTCCTACTCCTCTGGCCCCTGCTGATGCCGAAGTTGTTCTGGGCCCGTGCCCCCCTGATCGCGAAGGTGGCCTTGTTTGCACCCCTCGCCATAATGGTGTTCCAGTTGGTGTGGCTCGTCGCCGG